TTGGCAGGAAACCCGGCGGAGCAGTAGTCGGCGGGACCCCCAACGGGACAGGACATGGGGTTGGCAGGACCCACAGCGGAACAGTTGTCAGCAGGACCCCCAACGATACTGGACGTGGAGTTGGCAGGACCCTCAGCGGAACCCCCAACGGCACAGGACATAGGGTTGGCAAGACCCCCGGCAGAAGAGTAGTCGGTGGGACCCCCAATGGGACAAGACATGGAGTTGGCAAGACCCCCGGCAGGAGAGTAGTCGGCGGGACCTCCAACAGCACTGGACATAGGGTTGGCAGGACCCCCGGCAGAAGAGTAGTCGCGGCGGACCCCCAACGGGACAGGACATAGGATTGGCAAGACCCCCGGCAGAAGAGTAGTCGGCGGGACCTCCAACGGCACAGGACATAGGGTTGGCAGGACCCCCGGCAGAAGAGTAGTCGGCGGGACCCCCAATGGGACAGGACATGGAGTTGGCAAGACCCCCGGCAGGAGAGTAGTCGGCGGGACCTCCAACGGCACAGGACATAGGGTTGGCAGGACCCCCGGCAGAAGAGTAGTCGGCGGGACCCCCAACGGGACAGGACATAGGATTGGCAAGACCCCCGGCAGAAGAGTAGTCGGCGGGACCTCCAACGGCACAGGACATAGGGTTGGCAGGACCCCCGGCAGAAGAGTAGTCGGCGGGACCTCCAACGGTACAGGACATGGGGTAGGCGTCGGCCGTAGAGCCAACAGGACACGGGGGGCTGGCGTCGGCCGGAGAGCCAACAGGAGACGAGGAGCTGGAGTGGGCCGAACCACTGACAAAACACGGGGGGCTGGAGTGGGCTGAACCACTGACAAAACACGGGGGGCTGGAGTGGGCCGGGGAGCCAGTACTGGAGCCGAAACTGGAGCCGGAACCATGGCTGCTGGGGCCAGAACTGGGGCTGGAACAACGGCTGCTGGGGCCAGATCTGGAGCTGGAACCACTGGAGCACGGGCTGGAATCTTGGTCTTGCGTCTCAGATACCCCATTCACACCAACGGTGTTTCGGGGCCGGTTCGGTGCTGGTGCTTGAAAAGCACCGGGTTTTCCTGTTCACACCGCAGCGGAGCAGCCTCTAAGCTCCGGAATCCGGTTCGTTTCGAGCACCAAAAAGTTGTCCGTGTAGAAGCAAGAACCGCATACGTCACGCTTACGTCGGAGGGGGGCGAGATTAACCTGAGATAACAGTTAAGGCGAGTACGGCAAATAAAAGTTGTAACCAGCAGTAGTGCTGAGCAAAGTGACTAGAACGCAACCACACACTTGTAAAAAAAAAAACACGCTTTATAAAGTCAGGCAACACTAACCAGGCTTCGTGTGATTCTGTTTATTTGTACCTTACTTTGACCATCCGTTCGCTGTTATTGGTCATTGTGGAGAGCAGGCAGACGTTTTGTTTGTTATTATAGCAGCTATCGGATGGAATCAATACATGGGCTGCACAGGTTGTCATGTCCGACTATCACAAGTAGAATCATAATGAAAAATACGTCGGTAAAAAGTGCCTGTAGAACACGGCTTAGCAAGTAGTCAGTTTAGCTTCGGTTGCTATGCTAACATCACCCATGTTATACCAGAGAAACTTTCATAACAGCGTTGTGATGCCAAACAGCGTCAATTCAGATTGACACCAAACAGCGTCAATTCAGACTGACACACATTCACTTAAGGGGAACTGGGGATATGTATCAGCTGCTTGTGTGACAGTCAGACAGTGAATACTTTAGAGCCGTGTGAGCTAACCCGGAGCTAACGGGAGAATACACTCGTGGAAGAGCAGCCGGCCAGCACTGCAGCGGTCGGTAAATGCCGCTGAAACACACGGTCACTGAGCGGTGTGAAAAGAGCCGGAGCTAAACCGAAGTACCGGTTCCGAACCTGAAAAGCTCTAGCACGGAGCTTGAACCGGAGTTGCGTTGGTGTGAAAGGGGTACTAGAGATTCTTTGGAGGATCTGTGGGCCTCCCCAGGCCTGGTCATACCCCAGGAAAGGGTTAGAGGCTTCGGACAAGTCCTCAGGACTACTTGTGAAAAGTTGTAGCCACTCAGGCAACATGCTCCTAAGCCAGGGCTGGCGAGCAACCTCCTGACGTGCCTCCTTCAACGCAGCCTCTCTACCACGTCTAGAAGAGGCGCCATTCCAAGTATAAAAAATGTACTCCAGAGAGTACCCAAGACATTCTGCCTGTAGAGCAAAACGATCCGAGTCTGCTGAGTCCAAAGCTGGTCGGTTCATTCTGTTAGGGTTGGGCAAAGGTAGGACCCAAATGCAGACTACAAAAAGGGTAACAGGTCTATAAACAAAAATGAGCTTTATTTACAAAGCTGATGACAAGAAACATGGCATGAAAAAACATAGATAGCGAATACAAACAAAACTGACCGTGACCAACATGGAGGGAGACAGGAAAAACCAACAATGAACCGACCAGGCACACAGGGGAAGACAAGACTAAATACAGAGAGGGGTAATCACAAGGCAAGACACCGCTGGGGTAAGGGAGGCAGAAACACAAGGGCAACAGGTGAACACAATCAGACAATCAGACACACCAGGGAAACTAACGACAGGAAGGCAAACACAGGAAGAAGGAACAGAGAAGACACAAGGAGGAAACATTTCAAAACAAAGGTGGAAAATGAAACATAAATACAAACCGTAACAAATGCGACTCGATCCAGGATCCTCTGCTGGGACTTGGTGTCTGTACCCGGGCTATTTTTAGTCCCATTTCCACTGTGACCTCCTGCTACATGCTCTGCCTTTCTCTGAAGTCGCAATCCCTCTGAAGTGGAGCTCACTTGATGACGGCTTCACCTTCTGCTCCCAACAAGGTACTTTCTGTATCTCCTTTTTGATTGCTCGAAAGAGATAGACCCATATCAAATGAGTATTCCAATGATAAAATAACACTATAATTAGTTCTCATTCCTTTAAAGATTACAAGTTATGCAGTTAGGAGTGGCCCCCCTGGGTGACTTGAATACATTTTGAAGAGACATTGACATTGCTCACCTGGCAAAAAAAGAAGCTTTAGATGTAGTTTTTACTTGGGATTCAGCAGAATTAAAAGATGTAACCGTTAATTGCAGTCAAAACAGATATCGGCTGAAGATGGCTCCTGCTTTGAAGATTCCAGGAGAGGGATGGATTCTTTAAAATTGGTATAACATCAAAGAGCCCTACATATCAGAGGTTCTGCACACCAAATACTTATCAGTTACGAGACATGAGGGCAGACATGCAATTGGTTTTTCAAGCTTGAGGGAGGACAGGTGGTGCTCTCAGGTCAACAGAATATCTACACCCTCTTCCCTCCGACCCTACCTTCAGGTCGCTTAAAGTTCCAGGCTTTACATCAGACAAGATTTAAAGAGCACTACGCCAGTTTTTGCCTCTATTTGGCATTTGACATTGAAGTGTAAATGTGGGGAGAGAAGTATGACATGTGACAGAGGTCGGTGACTGGAGAAGAACTGTCAACATTGCGGTTATGAGGCTTGTGCTGCTACCATTTTGTTACCAAAGGCTCCAACCCCACCCTTCTACACATAAAGGTCAGCTTTCTTGGCACGCAGAGTACTACCCTAATGATATTATAGTAAGGGTATCAATGTTATACACCTGGGCTACAAGACATTGAAATGCATTATGGGAAATGTAGGATCCAGACAAGCAATATTATTAAAAAGTCCAACCAATAAAGGTTTAGGCAAATACTAATACTGATATTTGAGAGCTACAACAATCTTTTCAATATTACTATTGATAAGAGGACCAATCTGTAGACATGTATGTCTGTGTATATGTGTAAACATGTACGTCTGTGTATATGTGTATGAATGTACCCAATAAAAACTCCACCTTATGTTTGTATGTACATTGATTGGGGTATGCACCTGGAGGGGGGTGTAGGGGTGGGGCTTTACAACTTATTTCAAGAAAGCTCAACCATATGCCCTGTTATGAAAAACTGATAAAATTGTTAAGAAATCTATTGAATACAAAATATTTTAATTAATTGGCTGATGTTCCCCTTTAGTTCAGAATAAAACCTGAATCATAATCAAAGATGTTTGATGTGTATTACTGATATTTGGTTCTTAATAAATTGTGACCAACATGCTTAGTGAGAGGAACATTTACCCCCGGAGACATTAGTGTCAGTGATAACAAACTATGTGTTGGAGAAATGTTTTTTAATTAACTAAAATATATCTTTTGCAGTTCTGAGCTGACAATTATAACTTTTTCGCCAACAGAATATTTGCAATTAGTCAAATTCAACTGATATAAAATACATCTGTCTAGATCTAGCATCTAAAGAAGGGTGCCCACTGGTATGCCAAAATGTGGAAATTAAATTAAAATGGCATTTTGTCTATATGATTCTTTTCAGTGATATCTATTTTATGAAGGGAAATGTTCTTGTATATTTGAAAAAAATAAAGAAACATGTAATAAAGGGTAATATAATGCGAAAAACTGAACACCCACGTGGCATCAGGGCCTAACTGTTTCACAGACAGATTTGTGTTCAAAGAGACAGATGGAGATGTACATCAGCAAAAACGAATAATCCTGCTTAGACTTACGGTCCTATGTCTATTCATACATTACTGAACTTGTTTTGATAATAATGTTCTAATGAAAAATCTTATTTCAAGAATTCTTATTGAGTCTAACTACCTCACAGCATCTCACATTCATGTTAATACTATTTAAAAAAAAAAGCCTGACTTCAAAGTCTACTTTAAATCGCAGCTATTCCAAGAACCTTAAACCGCCCTAATGATGGTCTTCATCAGTGAATGGAGTTTACAATCAAACCCCCCCATTAAGGAGGATGAGGTGTGGTAAAGAGTTCTAGAAAAAGCTGGTTAGTGGATCTTGAATTTTTGTTTGTGACCATTACCAAATGTCTGGAAAATAATAATAATGTCTATGAAAATGAGCGGGGAGCATTCCAAACCTACCTCCAAACGCCGGCCTCATGGTGAAGTCATGGTCGTCCACTTTGAGCAGTTGCTCTGTCTTTGTCTTGCGAGCCTTGGTCACATCCGGAGGCTTCTTTGCCAAGGAGCTAGAGGAAGATGAAAATCACCATCAGAGGGTGGGCAACTGATAATGTTTGATTTAAGATAAGATAAGAGATGAAAGCAATGCACCAACACCAGAGAAACCCGATTGAAGAAGAACTACATAAACAAATCATTTTTTGCACCGTGTTTCTTTGCCTCACCTTTTTAGAGCATTAGGGAGCAAGGTAAAAACATTCTTCTCTTTTCTTTCAACCTCTTTATTCCACACTTTCATTTGACTTCACATAACTGAAGCTTATCCTTATATCATGGTTGAGAAAATGCAATGTGCTTTAGAAATGTAGAGATCAAGCCTGTGTTCAATTGGAGCAGAGCAGTCAGCCTGACTGCAGAAAGGCACCTCCAGAGTGTATTTGTGTCCTGCTTGAATGGTCTGTCGTGCTGTGATAATAGTGGGTGGTAGAGTGAGTCTAACAGTGATGGTGGTGGAGCTGTTTGGACCTCATGCTGGGTTAAATCCCCTCTGAGGACGGATGGGTGTGACATGCGTCTCCATGCAGAGCAGCAACAGACAGATATACGTTTCCTCCAGTGAGCAGAGAGACCAGATAAGTGTGGGGCCCTGCCTGCCCTCCATTTTGGGTTCTATAGGCAGTATTTTGGGATGATGTGCATCAGACTCGGAAATTCAATTTTTTTCTAAACTAACCTTTAACTCTAAACTCAAGTCATTTTTTCAATCTCCAACACATGGGGTTTGTGCTTTGCATTACTTTATTTTGATAAAGGTATACAAATTAATTAATTGATTGAATAATTGTAACTTTTGTTCAAGATGTTACTTTTTTTTAAGTAGCTTGCACAGGGATTTTATCCTTTCTATCAATACCCATCTAGATACATTGATTTAAACGTCAGATTTTGCTTATATTAAGCAACCTTTTTTCTTGTTCTCTACATGCAACTAAACAGATTGGGAGAGCAACCTCTCTAATACTCCAAATAATACTTAAAATCCACCAGACTGAGCAACAAACAGGCTTCAAAAAGTCTCAGGCAGCAGGACTGTATGTGTCTCATTACCTTTGCTCTTTATGAAATAAAACCCTTACTAGGTTAGGGTCTCAAGAGAGAGATCATGGTCACAGCTAACACACCAAAGCTGACTGATTGGAGGAGCTTTCAGTGTTCCCAACATTAAAGAGAGGTCTCTTCTTGGACCCTGACTTCCACTCTACAAGGTTTGGAGGCTATTGACATCAATGTCATAATTCACGAGAGGTCTTTGTCTGGAAACACATCATAAATGCTTCCTGTTCTAGACTTTAAACGAATGACGGATGCCTGTGAACCCTGAAGTCCTCCTGATGAGCAGCTCAGGGTCCTACAGGCAGCTTCAACACCATCAGTGTGAGAATGAGTTTGGGTGAAGGTCTGGCAGACCACAGATGGTCAGTGAACTGCATTTTAAATAGAGCTTTTCCACTTACAACAATTTTACAGGGTTGATAAAAATAAGTGTTCAAGATTTCAACATTCAGTATAGTATTGCACATGGGAAAAAAAACATAAAATCTTTATGATTGGTATTGGGTTCGGAAGAGATCTTGTGTAATTTTATTTTATTAAATTACTTTATGGAAAACACATTAATATGTATTGCGGCTCAAGTTACAGCACTGACTTTGCTGCAACACACTAATGTTATTATCATAGACTTTTCTTTTGGAGGGGGGCCATGGGGGGGTCCAAGCTCAGTGTTAGAGGGCTTGGACCCCCCCCAGAACCGACCATGACAACCCTTCATAGTGGAACTTGGGATGAGGGTTATTTATTTTTGGTTGAGTATCTGCCAAGGACACATGGAAAAGGTGACTGCAGGGCGATCAAACCAACAACCTTCTATTTGTAGGACGACCATCTAACTCCTGAGCCATAGATGCCTTTACTCCCCCTGATAAAACCTTAAATATTATCTTTAATGCATCTTTCACTACCTGCAGGTGATTTGGCTCAATATTCCTCTACTGACATCACATTCTTTTGGTGATTCTGCTTGATATGAGGAATGTAAGTCATTCCAAATGATGTAACAAGTGATCAATAAGCTCCACCACTCTCAAGCATCTTAATGATTGAATGTCCATTTAAACACACACTTTCTCATGACATTTCTGTTTAAATATTATTTTTACTTCTGGATGTCTGCACACACTGAACAAATCTGAAACCTTGACCTTCATTTAATTTTCATTTTATGTTAGTTGAAAGCAATAATATTAAGTTTAAATATATTAGGTTGAACTTAATATAATTGCTTTCAACTAACCTAATACAATTACGTGTAATTCATCGACATAATATATTTAATAGAAGTCAACGTTTACGTTTTTTTCAGAGTGTTCATTCTGTAGTTATTATTTATCTCCACTTACGCGCCATGCTTCTGGGTCTCCACGGTGCCGGTCCATCTGCGCACCCTTAGCTTACGGCACTCCCCGGTAACGAGCAGACACAGCAGGAAAACGAGGGCTTTGATCAGATGAGGCATCTTGACGGCGCACATCCACAGGTGGGTACCTTGAAAGCCCCTCTCTCTCGGATCATTCCAGCAGGAAGCAGCCGGCAGCGCATGGTGCTCACAGGGAGGATGTGTCCTCGGTCATGGCATCAGACTCTGCTGCACGAGGAGGAGAGGAGTGTGTGAGGGAGGCTACACACACTCATCCTCACGAGAGAGAGAGAAAGAGAGGGGCTGAACATCTGTAGCCTACACACTCTGGGGGGAAACACACATACACACCCACACACACGCACACAGGGATTATTTGCAGCCTGGCATGACACAATAAGAGAGGCAGATTATTCCTCCCTCTTGTAAATAAAAACCTCATCATAGGAATCACGTTTTACTCCACTCAGCGACATGGTGGAGCAGTTTAAACACAACCCCCCGCTCCACCCAATAAAGGGCCGGAGCCAGGGCTTCTGAGGCCCCGGGCACAAGCCCCCCTCCATTTCTGAGTGACGGTCTGGCTCAGTTCCCATGTGATTTTTTATGATGGGTTTGGTTTGACAGTATGCCAGTGTCCTTGAGCAAGGCACTGAAGTGTAATCATAATCCCTGCATGGCAGCTGAGCTCCGCCCCCGTCTCTGAATAAATATCTGTGGGGATGTTTGGCTTTACACACACCGCTGTCATGATGCAGTCAACAAACATCATTTGAAAAGCAGCTGTCAACATAATTTGAAAATGTTCTTATACTTTCAATGATTATGCTAAGGCTGGTGAATTTTATATTTTAATTGGTGCCTACTGAAGATTTACATCTTTAAAATGTACTCACTGATAGTGTGGCACAGTGATGATGTCATTTTGCAGTCACGGAAGTAATCATCACAAGGGCTCCCTCCATAAAAAGCCATTTCCATTGGGTTTTGAAACATTATAGAAAATATGCTCGATAAAAAACAAATGATATAACACTCACATAAATATCTCCAAAAAAGTCTCTCCAGCTTGTGTATATTAATTGCCCTGTAATATTGCCCTTACATTTCCCTGCACCACTCTAAACACTTAGTAGGGTTAGTTATTTGAGTGTTGTTGAATTTGGACCCTTCATTTGTTTATTAAAACAAAATAAGTACAATTTTATAGCAGAATTAGTGGAATATTCAAAACGCAGATGGCTGCTTCTGTGTTTTGGTGCGCTCTGTTTTGTCTTGTTTTGTGTGTTAATTCAGTGTTTACATACAGTGCACCAAACTCTTTCAACAGGGAAGAGCTCCTAAACATTAGAGAAACAACTTCAGCGGATTACTTTCCCACTTTTCTCTGTTCTTCCGTGGAATTATTGGACATTCTTGTAAAAGGTACCCTCACGTGCATCTGAGCACTGAAACGCCACAGGAGAGGGAAACGGGCCGGGACACTTGTGCACCTCCGGAGCCGCGGACTTCGCACGCCGCTACCCGGAATATTTCTCTCCAACGTGCGTTCCATAAGCAATAAACTGGACGAGCTTCAGCTACTGGTTAGTAGAAAGAGAGACTTTTCTTCATCTTGTGTTTTGTGCTTCACTGAGACCTGGCTGTGTGGATTGAAAAAGGTGGAGGAATATGTGTTTACACTAACAGTAAGTAAGTAAGTAAAGCTTTATTTATATAGCACCCTTCTCAACACGAATGTACAAAGTGCTTTACAGTACAGTACACAATTCACAGTATAACTAAAATGTAGAATAAAAGGCATAAAAAGGCATAAAACAACAGCAGGTAATACATAGGATAAAACATACGATAAAATACCAATAAAAGACAGTGGCTGGTGCAACGATGTGACAGTGATTCTGCAGCACTGTTCTCCCACTCTGGAAACCTTTATTATCAACTGCAAACCCTTCTATTCCCCCCGCGAGTTTTCTTCATTCATACTGGTCGGTGTTTACATCTCACCGCATGCGAACGTGCAGGAGGCGCAGCGCACACTCGCCGACCAGATACTGTGTGTGGAGAGGACCTATCCGGACTGCCTAGTTATTGTTCTTGGTGACTTTAAAGGGGACCTATCATGCAAAATGCACTTTTGTACGTCTTTTATACATGAATATGTGTCCCCGGTGTTCCAGGGAACTCACCAAGTGTCAGAAAACACAACCCTCTCTATTTTCCTCCATACCCAAATCTCTAAAAAAGGGGCTGCAGCACGGATCTGATAAAACTGATCCAGATTTGAACACTGTCCTGACGTCAGGACAGTGGCGCTACGGCTATTGGGCAACTCCACCAATCAGGAGGAGACAGCCACGGCCATTGCCGTTCGAAAAGTGCTGGAGACGCTGTAGTACACTATGCCAGGCCTGTAGGTGGTGCTGTTCTCACAGAATCTGCCCTTGCAAATCCAGAGCTAAAAAATGTCAAATTGAGCAAATGAGGCATGGCTAAAATGCATGATCTGTTTGGTATTTTGAAAAAAAAAAAGGTATAAATATGCCTTATATAGGTATGGTCCTACACTATATTATTCAAATATAGCATGATAGGTTCCACTTTAACAAAGGCAAACCTCAGCCACGAACTCCCAAAATACAAACAGTTTATTAATGCCCCACCAGAGAGGGGAATATTTTGGATCACTGTTACACCACCACATCAAGGGAGCCTATCACGCCGTCCTTAGCGCCGCACTGGGCCACTCTGACCACACCATGTCCACCTGATTCCTGCATACAGGCAGAAACTCAAGCTGTGTAAACCTGGTAGTGAGGACATTCAGGCAGTGGAGCAATAAAGCTATGGAGGAACTTCAGGCGTGTTTGGACTGTACTGACTGGGACAAATGTTTAGGACTGCAACTCAAAGTCTGGATGAATATACAGAGGCTGTGACGTTCATACATCAGCTTCTGTGAGGACAGCTGTGTACCAACACGCACCAGGGTGAGTTCAACAACAACAAGCCCTGGTTCACACCTAAGATTGCAAAAGGAGGAGGCGTTTAGGAGTGGCGATAAGGCACATTTAGAGAGTCGAAGTACCCTCTTTGGCAAGGCGGTGAGAGATGCTAAACGACAATACTCTGAGAAACTCCAACATCAGCTCTCAGCAAATGACTCTGCTTCTGTCTGGCGTGGTCTAAAGGCCCAGACACACCAAACTGACACCAAAGAACACGTCCCGACGGACCCGATTGTTGTGTCCGCCTCACGTCTCCTACGTCTTGGCCAACAGTCGCACTGGAACACACCGCAAAGACTTCAGCCGTCGGCCAAGTAGCAAGTACGCACTGCGCATGCGTGAGTGGCAATAACTCTCCTTGCCAGCAGGCGGCGGTAGTGTGTTATTCGTCATTCAAAAGAGGCAACAACCGGAAGACAGACTGCGTGATACACCGAGAGAAGAAGAACAGAACTGCGTGATATAAACAAACAACAATAGCGTGTGCATTTCATTTTCACTCTGCAGCGAGAAGCTCATGGGGCTTTCCCGAACCTGTGTCGAGAGCTGGAGTTAAATGAAATCTCATATTTGCCTTCTTAATAGTTTGTTGGGGTCCCTCACTTCCGTTTCGCTTCTCATGCACTGATTTGCTAAGCTGAACAGCCAATCAGAGTGATGTCTTTTGCCGACGGCCTTTAGCCGACAGCCTACCGATTCGGCGGCGGAAGGTGTCGGCACGGCCGAAAAGACACGACAGTGCAGGACACACCAATCTGAGTAGGGCGACAGGACGCTCATCGACGGCCAGACATCTATCGACATCTATCGACCAGGGTTTCCGTTAGCCGGTAATTACCGGTTTTTAGCTGGTAACATTTAGAAAAAACGGTAAATTCAAAACCTTTTTCGAAAAAACTAAACGTAATATCTCACTACAAAAACAAACGCAAATATTTTATTTTAAACAGTCAAGTCCTTTCAAGTCATCTGTCTCAAGCTTAAGTCAAGTCTCAAGTCATGAATACCAAGTCAAAGTCAAGTCAAGTCTTTTATCAATGTTAGTCAAGCAAGTCTCAAGTCAAAAAATATGCGACTCGAGTCTGACTTGAGTCAAGTCATGTGACTCGAGTCTTCATAAACAATACTGACATTCCTGTGCTCCTCCGAGTCTGGGGGTCCGGGGATGTGAGGACAGCGCAAGGACACAGACAGGGAGGCTGATTTAATTCATAAAGGAAATGGCGGTCAATATTAACAATATAGGAGCTAAAACGCTTAATAACCTTCATTACGTGTTAGAGAAAGAACATAAGAAAGTTTGACAAATATGAGGCTGTTAAACGGGCAGCGAATCAGCTGACAATTGTTATTAACTTATTTGTTCTTACTCGGAACCGAGTTTTGCTTCCCAAGCCTGCCACTGTGCTACATGTCCCGCCCCGCCCCCGTCTAACAGTACAAAAGCGGCGAGATGCATTTCCTTAGGAATCGACAAGCAAAACCACAACAATGGCCGACACGGACAATTTACGAATTAGTTCTGCCTTTTGTAAACTGAATTTATCAATAATTTGTCAACAAATCAGGGCGAAAAACGTCACTTGTCCGTTGGACAAGTCAATTTAAAGATCTACTTGTCCGATATTGTAAATAACACGTCCCGGACGGTGGGACGTGTGCTTTTTCGCACACTGAAGCCTGATTTAAGGGTTGTTTATATTTCACATCATTAATCAGAATCTGCAAAGTAACTCAAATAAATGTAGTGGAGTAAAAATACCAGGTTAACCTCTGAATTGTAGTGGAGTAGAATTGCTGTTTTGTTTAGTAATGGATATTGAATATGGAATAAAGGTTTTGACAAGACCTAGTGTAACAATAATCAAAAAGGACATTAAAAGAGCTCCAGATGTTAATGATCTAAACAAAACAGCCACACCTGAAATGTATATTTAAATACTTTATTAAGGGCAGTGAATTCGTTTTTTCTGTATGTTTTTCAAATCAGTGTTATACAGTAAGTGTCATAGACAGTGTTACATTGCTATTATTATCCTTAAAATATATGTAAAACAAAACCACTTTTTTTTTGAGTGGTTTACTAATGACAGTTAATTCTGTTTTTGCTATTGATGGTTTCATTTTTGTGAAAAATGATAAAATAATAAAATTCAATAACGTG